TTTCGAAGCATACTGCAGCTGGAAAAAAGTTCCGGAGGAGGCCCGCTGCAGGAAAAAGCTCCGGAGGAAGCTTGCTGTAGAAAAAAGTTCCGAAAGAAAGCCTGATATAAGAAAAGGCACCGGAGGAAGTCTGCTACAAGAAGAAATAGTAGTTGAAACCTGCAGAGGGGAAAAATGACAAAAAATAGCTCCTCCCCTCTATCCACTTTTGCTGTGAAGACATGTCTGAGAAAATAATTTCTTTTTGGTTGGGAGTGCCACTGGAGAGAAAAAATCCCGCTTTCCAAACATGGGCGATGGCTCTCCGATTGAACCATAATTGAGAGAAAGAACAAATCACACCTAAGAAATTCTGTTGATAGAGAAAGCTATAGGAGAAAGGGCTGTTAGAAACGCAACTGCCCCTTACGCCTGCACAAGGAGGGAAAAATATTGCAGGAGAAATGATCGATAATGGATCAGGCTACAAGAACCAACGTTGGATTTTTGTGGAAGAATAGCAGGAAACGACAAAAAGCAATAATGGATTTTAGAGAGAAAATTGTGTTGTTTCCTGCGACTGGGAAGAATAGCAAAAAAAATTGCTTTGTTTTCTGCAGGAAAGTCCTGCGGGTAAGAACAGCGGGAAGGTTCTGCAGGGAAGAACAAACTGAAAGTCTTGCGGCTGGGAGGGATAGCAGAGAAGCCATCGACACACAACCTATCTGAAAAAGGGTCATCGGTGAGAGGGAGAGCCGGTTGATAGAGGTTCGACAAAAATCTTGCCAGAAGAGGCTGCTGGGGAGAGGGCGGCAATAATCCACGGTTGGTTGCCCACGCGATGTACTCTCAACGAGGATCTCAAGGACTTCATCACTCTATATGCGCTCTTGTACCACGACAAGCAGGTTCGAGACTGGAATCCAGGGATCGTCTCTTCAACGGAGGGAGGTCCGGCGGCTGAAACTACCTGCTGAAAGGATCACCTACAACAACCTTTAGAAAACCGATAGGGAAGAAGGGAACTAGTGGCAGTAGGGTGAAAAATGATGGCAGCTAGGGGAATTGGCGACTATAGATCTACAAATTAGATATACAATAGTTTTTTTATGGGAAACATTTGTTGGGAAGCCAACAACAGTAAATTCTCTACGTAATAGATCTCTACGGGAGGAAAAGACAACATGAAGAAAACTGCTAGGAAATTGCCGCTTGCTTTATGGAAGGTCGGCAAAGTTGAATCTTCATGTTTGCTTTCAATCGAAACATAAACTATTGTTTGTTTTCTGGAGGCCGACAGATTTGAATCTTCCGGTCGGGAAGGGCGAACCGACCGGCTTGCAGGGACGGAAGAAGCAAAAGTCGTTTCAAATATAAAGATGAGTGTCTCTCCCTTCCCACACAGAGGATGACGGGAAGGAAGTCTGGCGGTTATTGAAGGAGGTTCGGTGGCTAGGGTACGAACTTAAGCTCTGATGCTATGTTGAAATTTAGAATAATGCAAAATATTTTTATTGATATGAAAAATGTGTATAAATAACCCTTACATGAATCTTAGAATAGGAAGTAAAAAAAAAAAAAGAAGATATAATACCTAATATCTCCAATTAATCAATTCATATTAATTATTTGGAGATAAAAGAAACAACATAAAAAAAGGAAAGAAAATAAATTCAATCCAAAAAAATAAATTTAAAATAGGAAAGGAAATAAAATTATATTAGGAAATAAATCTAATCCTCATAACCACTAATATAAATTAATTATTTCATAATATAACTTCTAACACAGAGAAATGCTTGCTTTTTGTTTCCATGGGAAAGATATAAAAAAAAAAAAAATGAAGCCAAAATTTCTCTGTTTTTTATTGCGGATTATTTTTGTCTTTCGAGAGTGTGGTTCAAACATAATAAGGTTGAAATAAACTTCAATCAAGGTAGAGATTATATGCTAGAAAAATTTATGCCGTGTTCATACTCTATCTGAATCATGTGTTTTAATTCAAAGATATGTTCAAACATTATTAGAATAGGATTTGGATAAGGTTCATATATGGTTCAAATAAGTTATAATGCAATAGTTACTTTGCAATAAGAAGCATTGCATCATTACATAACATTTATAAAATCACAATAAGGGTGTTGGGGACTTTTGAATTTATAAATTCTAATATTTGTTGGTTTGTATGTTCTTAATTTCATTTGGGAGCAGGAGAGTGGGACTTATTACATGAAACTTATTTTGATTTATTATTTTTCCACTTTGATATCTTATTCTGATTTTTTTATGACACTTCTCGCTTCATAATTTGATATTAGGATATTAATATGTTACTACTTGTTTCATACTTCAATTTACTATAATATTTTTTACTTTGCGCAATTTGTTGATTTCGAGGCTTAAGACTCACCTCACGGGCAAAAAACACTTCGATACCCAATTATGCAAATTGAAACCTATTTCATATGCAGGGTCATCTTTTTGAGGTCTTACCTAGTCCATCATGTTAACACTTAACCAAAAGAATGAACCATCTCATGAAGCTTCAGGATTTTCTGAAGAATCGATTGATTCTTTGTTTTTTATTTTTCATTTTTTTTTTTTTGTGTACAACTAGTTTTTTCAAGCTTTTAGTTTGGGGAATTTACATACATACCACCCAATTATTATATATTTTACATATCTAAGACCTAAACTTACTTTTTAGATTTATACCACCCAAATGTTTTATACCACAACAAGAACACCACTATTTCGACTTTTAAAAGTGAAATTCACATTTTGATGCATAGGTAAAGTTGGTAGATATATGTAAAAATTGAACTTTTGGTATTAGATATGTAAATTCATAGGTATTGAGTGGTATGTATGTAAATCTTCCTGTGGCGTTGATCACTATAACAAAGGTATATTCATTTCTATGTTTGGTTTGTTAAATTTTCTTAATGATATCTTGCTGTTCATAACTTAACCTCGACATGTTTTATTTATTCAAACTATCATGCAAATAACTGGTGGCTAATGATAAAACATGCTAAAATTCTATTTGCATTTATACCCAGGAAGAGGCTGGATCAGTCCACCCAGAAAAATTGTCAAGAACTTGCAGCTTGACACTAACATTTCTTAAACTATATTGTACTCTTCCAAGCCTTGATGAGAATCTGGACTTATGAGCGCTTCTGGAGAAGAAAAGAAGTGTTGAACACTTTGTAGTTCTTGTTCACCCTCTTCTTTCCAGGTCAGTTACAAACTCTGTATCTCAGAAATAAGAGCAATAATTATTCATTAAATTGGAGGACGACTGACACGGTATTTTAAAAAAAAATCTAAACTTTATTGCTGAGCATTATACTGATTTACGAAGAGTGAGGAAGTTGATTTAGGAATGGATTGAGTAAGATTAGCTTGATAGCATCTCTTTGTTTCAATTATGCTGGCTTCCTCTCTTTTTCTTTCATTGATTCATATTTTCAGTTTTTTATATAATAACTAGAGAGTTTGTTATGTATATTTGTTGTTTACCTTTTTGTTGCATGTTAGAGGGGATGGGAAATGAGATATAATTTGGAGTGTTTTGGCTGGTTCAGAATAAATGTGGGGTGTATTTTTATTTCTTTAAGAGAATGATATTTATGAGTTTTGTTGTAGACATCAATTTCATATGCTTTGAGCATGTATGAAAGTTATTTAATTCGGTGCTCTCTTCTTTTTTTGAAACTATAAAGCCACAAAAAAATGTATACATCATGTTATATAATATGTTGTAGTGTGAAATTAGAATATACACATAATATTTAGTAGCTGATGTATCATATGCTAACTTATATTATTCATAGTATAATATTATGTACAATATGCTATATTAATATACTATTATAATTTTAATAATTTATTATGTGTATTACTCATATATATGTATATATATATATATATATATATATATTGGGAAAGAGCAGCGGTTACCCCCTATCCGTTAATA